ACTTCTAAACATACTTCTGCAACCAAGACTGCTGAAACACTGTTGCACTCTATTGGGATGCACTGATTTGGACCACTTGGGCTACTTTTTACATGACCAATTAATTAATGCTTGTTTCTTACTGAAGCTTATGCTTATTTTAACAGCTTAATGGGCATGAGCAAACATCTGCCATCTCTATCTGCCATGAGGAAAGCAGGGCCACATGGATCCATGCGGCCCAGTGAATCAGCTCTGAATCAGAAACATTATTGGAGCATGCTAAGGAAATCATCACTAATGCTATTGCTCATAAATTAGAAGAAATCCACATCCTTAATCATAAAAATTAAACTTTGGTGTATAACTTCTCTTTTTGTGCTACAGACATGAATAATCTGAAATCAGTGTAGCTTGGTGAGAAGTGTGTTATTACCACTCTAAGCAATCAGACCTATAATTTTTGCCTGGCAGACAATAAAACAAGTGGACAAATACCCCCTAGATTTACTTTGAAGGGCCTTCAGATATATCAAGGAACCAGACTTATAACCACCCAGAACACTCTTAAAACCACTTAAAACAAATTAGAAATTGCATAACAATGACCATTCAAAACACACAAGTATCTTTTTGGACTGTACCAGAAATTGTGCAGAATATAGAGCCCTGTGAAAAAAATTTCCCCCCCATATTCTGTTTTTTGCACTTTAAATTTTCTGGATTCTGTTTTATCCTGTTTTAAGTGATGTGGGTTCCATTTTAATGGTTCCATTTCATTTTAGTTATCAAAAAGCATGTCTAAATAACTGAAATCATGAATCTTATACAATGTAACAACAATATACTAAAAGTTCCACAAAAATTTAATTTTTTATTTTTTTTCTCATGAATTCTTTTTTATTTTCCTCTGTGGTTTCCATTTTCATTTTCTGGATTCCATTTTAATAGTTTAATTAAATTCTAATAATCAAAAACCATGGCCAATCAACTAAATTCTGTGTACTGTAAGTTCCATTTTTATGACTGGATTCTGTGATTCTGTCTGCTTTTTCCACACTGTGGAAATCCTAGGACTCTGATGAAAAAAAAAAGCTTAAAGGGATAGTTCACCCAAAAATGAAAATTCTGTCATTAATTACTCGCCCTCATGTCGTTCCAAACCCGTAAGACCGTTCATCTTCAGAACACAAATTAAGATATTTTTGATGACAGAATTTTCACATGTGTACAATGATGTGTACATCCACATCATTTAGATGCCAGTCAAAGCAACAGTCGAGGCTGTGAAAACTATGCCAAGGAAAGCTGTCTCTATATCACCCTTTGAGAGAGCTGGGAATTTAACCACAATTAAAATAAATCATAATTTGTATACACACAAACTCACTGTCATTAGCACGGCTTATTGTGAATCGTTGGGCAGAGTTTGATGGCTCCTCCCACTAGTGCTGTGTCCGATACATCGATACGACGATGTATCGTCACAGAGGAGTGTTGATTTGTGTAATGATAACCTACCAGTAATGTTAAGATAATTGTAATATATTAGAATGAGTACATTACAATATAAATTTATTAGAACGAGTACATTATTATTTATGGGCTTAAAAACAAGATGCAAACAATCAGAATATTGTACCTGGTGGGGAGTGCACAATGTAAACATGAAACATATGCCATTACCTATATTGTACTGTGGTACAGTTATGGAGGCCCTTCATAATGCAGAGGTCAACTGCCTGCTCTGCCTATAGTTAGCAATGGCCCTATAGTATGCAGTGTTTAATAAACAGCTGTTTTACTAAATTCTGCTGAGGTGAAATTCAGTGCAGTCCCGTATCGTGATATGTACGGTAGTGTGGCCTATGTACCGTGATACGTACCATATCGTGACTTTGCTGGTGATACACAGTCCTACCGCCCACCACCGCTTCTGCTCAAAACCAGCAACATGTGCTCAGAACACGAGATGCACAGTCAGCTTTTCACAGATCTGTTTAATGCCTTTAATGTTAATTATGACTAGCCTCTCCCATCATTATGTAGTGGGAAAAAAACTGTCTGACCTACATCACAGTGCCAAGATGAAATATAAAATTGCAGAGCAATTTCAAAATGCATGGAGTCAGACTAAAACAGCTGTGAGCTAGCAGATGATGGAAGCAGCCGATAAACTGTAGCAATTATATTGCATCATATAAATGTGCCTGATATATGAGACCTTTCCCTTAAAAACTGGCAAATATGTGGTAATTGACTACACGCATAATTATAACCTTTGTATTGACTCATTGAACCTAGACTAGACAGCTCCCATGGAAAAAAAAATTCTGGACAAAAATACAAATTTTTACCTATATATTTTAAATAAAGGCACTGGCCCAACTTAACCCCGTTTTCATGCTCTCTATCGTTCCCTAGCCTTCAAGGGTTTCTTACGTCAGGCTTTCTCAGATCACAAGAATTAGGATTCTGTCTCAGTTTCAGAGAAGCCACAGAACTGACAAGATCCTTTCAGGTTCTGAATGTGACAGATCGAGACTGAATAAATTGTCACAACAGACTGACTTAGCTGGTTTCTATGACATGTTTTGATGGATTTGAATATGAGATATGGTCCTGTCTTAAAGGGATAGTTCATCCAAAAATGAATTTACTCACCTCATGCTGTTCCAAAACTGTATGACTTTTTCTTCTGTGGTACTAAAATAAGGTATTTTGACAAATGTCTATACCATGGAAGTTGTTCCAATTGTTCCAGCTGATTTGTTTCCAAAGTTCATCAAAATATCTTCTTTTGTGCTCCTCAAAAGAAAGTCATGCAGGTATGGACTGATACGAGGGTGAATAAATTATGACAGAACTTTTATTTTATGGTGAACTATCCCTTTAAGAATCAAAGAAGTGTATCACCGAAAATAAACACTATTCCACATCATTCCTTTTATACAGCTTTGCGATATGCTGAAATGGATATAAATGGACTGTCAACACTGCGCACTTCACTCAATTATATGCTCCTAATATATTGATTTTCAGCATGAACGGACGGGTAATAAGATGAAACACATAGCAGTCAAGTTTACTCTGAAAACTGATCTACAAGAATCTTCTTGAATGAATGATCAACACAATTTATTTAAAAATGAATGAGTTTGCACTAGGGACATCACTATAATATATAAATGAATCAAATTCCATCTAAAGATTTCTTTCTACCAACAAAAAGCATCTAGCTGCATGATTTTTTTTCCCAGTAGCCTAGTTTTTTGTTCTTATTTTGTCTTCATAGGGCTCTTTGAATCCAAAAGTCCTCAACATACAGGCAAGACCAGTCAGTGTGCTCAATTTGTAATCTACCCTAAATTGTTATTTAAAATTATATTAATCCAGTACAGTTGTCTCTAAATGTAGGGGATTGCTTGGGTTTCAAGACAACAAGCTAGAGTCCGTGACATGGATTAGGGTAAATCTATACCAAAGCAGACGAAGTTCCACCTAAGCTAGAAAAAGTAGTCTTTCGTCATCATGTTGACAAACTGTAGAGGATCTGGTCTGCTTTTTAACTGAAGTGGACATTTTAAAGAATTTCCAAAAACCTTAGACGAGACTAGACTAAGAAATGAGAGTTTCAAAGACTAAAAGACGCCTTCAACCTTGGTTTAAAAAAATTAGATTCTGAAAGATGAGTCTCTTACAGTTGAAAATTCAACTTAAGACCTTAAATATTTACTTGAATTGTGTAAGCAAAGCCGTAAAGCAATTACATAGCCACAAAATAGGTCAAATTAAGGTTTGTTCCCATAAAGTAATTGACAGTAGGGGAAAAACAATGTTAAATATGCAAATAATAAAATGCAACTAACTATACAGTATAATGTGAGCAGACTTATGATAGAAAAATAGACTAACCTAACCCTAAAATCAGTGTTGGGGGTAACGCATTACAAGTAACGCGAGTTACGTAATCAGATTACTTTTTTCAAGTAACTATTAAAGTAACGCATTACTTTTTAATTTACAAGAGAATATCTGAGTTACTTTTTCAAATAAGTAACGCAAGTTACTTTTTTTTCCAATTTATTGATTGACAGCTCTCCTGTCCCCATGTTGAGAGAAATCAGATGTTAATGTAGTTCTAAAATAAATATGAATATGCATTAATTCATCTCACTCACAAAAAGAAAACAGATTCAGTATTCCTCAAAATGTATAAAAATAATGCAACTCAGAATATGACGCAAACCTGCAATAATTAAATGTTAAACAACACAAATATCCTTTATGTATTTAATCCCATTCTATTAACCAATGTCTTTGCTTCTGACCTTCGATGATCCAGTTCAACCATACTAATAAGCAAAATTTACTCCAGACAAACTTTGTGTCTTTTTTTAGTGCTAAAGTGTGTTGAAATGTCTTCTTCTGCATTCTACTGTACGGGTGTAAATTTACTTTCCCTTCAGCCTGAGGCTTATTCATTTCACTTTTGGTGTGAAAAGGCTTTTATATTTGCCAAAAATATAACTTTTTTATTTTAAAAACAAACAAGCAAGCCCTGTCCAGATTTGAAAAAGTAACGCAGAAGTAACGTAACGCATTACTTTCCATAAAAAGTAACTAAATACCGTAATTAGTTACTTTTTTTATGGAGTAACGCAATATTGTAATGCATTACTTTTAAAAGTAACTTTCCCCAACACTGCCTAAAATGGACGGAAACCATGTGTTGTTGTTGTGTTTCCAATCAATATCCAATATCTAATCAAGGATAAATATGATTTGTGCAGACCGTATTCATTTTGAAAAGTCATTTGTCATCATGTTAGAATCCGACACGCCTGTAAATTTTACCAAAATGTTTTTACACTGTCCTTAAAACTTTGCATTGCGTTTCAGCAGTTTTAAACGTCTCCCACAAAAAGGCGTAATTCCTGTCATCTTGCCAATAAACTCATCCAGTTACCGGCTGCAAACTGATCACTCGTGCCAAATGAACAGAGCATGACATCACTTACCTGCAGCAGGTGAATCAGCGATCACCATGGAGACGAACATCAGCAGCACGCACGCGGTGACCTGACTATGTCCCTCCATCATTAGACCCTCCATTTAGTGAAACTCATTTTTCGTCCAAGGTGATCCGAGGTGAGATTATCCGCGCGTTTAACTAGTCGCCGTGAACTGCAGCAGATGAAAACAATACCACTCTTATATAGGTCACATTTTCAGTCCTATTTTCAGCACGACTTCGTGAATACTCCCGTAACCAAATCTAACGATTTAATCATAAACCGAACAAATGACATCTTGCACATGCCTAGAAACCGAAATTTAAATCGCAGCTGGAGATTTTAACCACTAAAGTGAATTGCCATGCTGACTGAGTGACACTACAAGAGCTTGTGCAGAGCGCGGAACTCACGGCTCCTTTGTTCCTTAACTTGTCCGACTCATTTCCACGAATCGACTCTTTTGAATAATTCGTTTCAAAGAACCGATTCAAATAACGGCGGCGTTACGTCATCCCGTGACGGTCCTTGCCATCCAGTCGAGACATATTAAACGCTCATAACGTTCTAGTAAAGTCATCTGTAGGTATTTACGGCTATTTATTTCATTTTTACGAATAAGATAATTGTGTGTTAATTGTAAAGTCCTTGTTGTTTGTAAGCAGACATGATCCAGTCTGTTCTGTATGTGTCTGTGTCACACATACAAGTCGTAAGCATATTTCCAGCACGTTTTATTTGGGTAATTTCTGCTATTCGACTATTAAAGTAACTTTGTTACATTTATCAAATCCTCAATTAACTCCAAAATGTTTAATATCACTTCGGACATATACGAAAAAGATGAGTCTCTATTCAAACGAGTCGGTGAATTGCACAGTCGAGAACCGCCAGGACCGATTCAGACAGGCAGATTCGCGAACGAATCATTTTAGGCCGGTTCAAGAGATTTATTAAAAATATTCAGTTCACAAAAGCGATTCGTTCAGGATTCGGACATCTCTGCCGTGCATTAACACACGAACCGAAGCTCACAGAGCAAGATCCAAACATTGTTTGCATAATGTGCAGCTTTCAAAAGACAAAACTTAAACGTTGACATACTGCATGCCTTAGAATCAACGTGAAGGTGTGTGAACTCATCCGTGTGCGTTAAAGCCCCGGTCAACGCGCTTGTTGCACGCGGATTAGGTTTCTAGTCGGGAACTGTTTCGTGATGGTTATGAGAGAAATAGTTTTTAATTTTATGATTTCTCGTCGTTATTACACCTAGTTGAACTATCTATTGAGAATCGCTAGAGAACATACTCTTTCAGATGTGTTGCTGTATGGCACATAACGGAGTCTTTTTTACAGAAACGTTATCAGTCACCGTCCATATAACGCTACTTGATTGATTGATTGATTGATGATGCATTTAACTCGAGTTAACTTGTAGTTGCAAAATATACGTCTAGAAACGTAACCTTACGTCTGAATCGGATTTATATTAGTTTATTTGAAAGCAGAGAAAGACTTAGCACATGCACAGCCTAGAAAAGCAACTCCTTACCGTCAGAGCAGACAGTTAGAACGGTCCTAAATCGATAGCGTCCATATCCAGTCCCAGATCAGGATTAAAGCTTCTGTTTTGCATAATTGCATGACACATCGGGTGATTTTGTTCCATAAGTGTCTGGATCCTGTCTGAGCATCACTCACTTTCTCAGATGCAACGATTGCACTAAATCCTCCCGACAGCAGGATTTGGAGTCCCTTGCATGGGCTCTATGGTCATTGGCTCCCCGCGCCGTCCTTCAGTAATAAGGGTTAGGTTGACACCTCCGCCGGCGTCTGGGGTTTCACGGCAACGCATTTTGTTACCGGATCTTGTGTGGCTGCAAAAGTTTAACCTAAACCAAGTAAAACATTGTTTAGGAAGGTTTTACATGTGAGGGAGATTCCATTATTATCAAACGATTCTGTACACGAATGTATGGTTTGGTTATGTCACAGCACACTCTAGTGGCCATGAGGGCAACTTTTGGTAGCACTTTATGTTCCATAAGTGTCTGGATCCTGTCTGAGCATCATTCACTTTCTCAGATGCAACGATTGCACTAAATCCTCCCCTGACAGCAGGATTTGGAGTCCCTTGCATGGGCTCTATGGTCATTGGCTCCCCGCGCCGTCCTTCAGTAATAAGGGTTAGGTTGACACCTCCGCCGGCGTCTGGGGTTTCACGGCAACGCATTTTGTTACCGGATCTTGTGTGGCTGCAAAAGTTTAACCTAAACCAAGTAAAACATTGTTTAGGAAGGTTTTACATGTGAGGGAGATTCCATTATTATCAAACGATTCTGTACACGAATGTATGGTTTGGTTATGTCACAGCACACTCTAGTGGCCATGAGGGCAACTTTTGGTAGCACTTTATTTTACAGTCCTGTTCCGCATGTACATACTATGTACTTGTTATAGTAATTACAGTAACTGGCTAATGACTAGGTACTAACCCCGAACCTACCCTTAACCTAACCCTAATTTATGTAGTTACCTTATATTATCTAGTACTTTCTTAAAGTACACTGTAAGTGCAGGTAAGTGCACGAACTGTAAAATAAAGTGCAACCCAATTTTTTGTACACAAACAATATGAACAGAAATTACATAAATTACATCCAAATCTTTGTAACAGATTAACCCTTTAACTGTCACCCGTCCCCTCGGTGGGACGCCTAAGTTTACTTCACTATATTACAATTAAATTCTAATCTAATCATGGCAAACTATATATCGTTGGAAAGGTCTAAGACTCCTAAATAGATATTTTACCAATGTTTTTATTAAAAATTATGTAGGAAAAGTAATAGATTAATTTTTGATAAGAGTGCACCTCAAAAATCTACATCATAACAGGAGTTCTGACCTTTGTCACAAAAAGTCTTCTTTGTTGCCTTTTTCTCTATCACACTTTAGAAATCATCAGAAATGATATATCAATTGAAAACTTGAAATCTCAAAATTCATCCTTTGAAACCCACTTTAAAATCAAACATTGCATTACCATGAAAATGGTACATCAAGATCATGTTACAAAATGTTTTCGTTCATGAATTATAAAAATTGAAGTTTGGATCGTGCACTTTCACGTCTATGTTCAAAAATGTGAGTGACAGTTAAGGGGTTTAAGCCCAAAAAAGTAAAGTTTATTTTATATTTATTCTAGAGTATGTCTTCATGACTTTATGAAAAAATACAGTAATAATATAACACACACAAAACATTTTAAAAAGGATACACACACACACACACATATATATATATATATATATATATTCCAGAGAATATCACCTGAAAATATTATGAATATTATAATGAAATCACATGCAAAATGATAGAATGAAACCACTGCTAGAGAAAATACACATTTGAATATTTCGATTTTTTTTTTTTACCTCAAAATCTTATAATTACTGAAATATAGTCCCTTACTGTAACAGCTAGCCCCAATCTTCACACTACTATTCTTTTATAAAAGGGTAATGAGCTTTGGTTCACCAGCATTGTTTTTGGTGGTTTCTAAAATGTCTGGTTAGAGTGCGCAAATGCAGTCTTTTAAAAAATGTTTGTAATATAAAAAAAGAAAGAAAGAAAGAAACTCACAATGACAGCATGAAAATACAAGACTGATGCCGTGACTTAACAGTTTAATGTAAATCCAAGACAAAGTGTGATTACATTTCTACACATATACAATATGCATATGTGAGCATACAAATTTCCTTTAATAACTCGATTCACCTTGGAGACCGAAAAATGATCAAAAGTAACAGTGAATAACAAGCTATAACATAGTTCACCACGACGCGAGCCCCTTCACACCCTACAGTTAGTAAATAGAACGATTAAAATAACTATATTCTTCTATAACCCCCAGGTTTGTTAAAAATCCTCCATGAATTTACACTGCTATCATTAGTTGTTGAAGCCTAATAAAATTCACGCAGGTTTTTTTTTTTTTTCTACAACGAAAATTAAGAGAAGCACACAACATTTGTAATGGTAACACAAGCGCTTAGTAGCAAGTACTCAATTTGTAGGAGTTAAATCATTCTTATTATTGTCATTATTATATTCATTTTAACATTCTATAAAGCCAGTAAAATATCCATTCTCATAGCATACTTAATAATATTAGCCTAAGGTACAGGGTACATATAATGCTACGTTAACAGATTGAAATAATGAGACATCACACTTCTTCAAATCCCCAATAAAGCAAAATTATAATAATTATAATAAAAAAGGACAATAAACAAGGAGGTATACCTGGAAATACTGCAGCACACAATAGCTTTGACAACAACTAATGTGATACACACTACTGAGAAAACCATACAGCAATTGACAAAAATCAGGGGTCGGATGCTTTCTTAGGTCTTGAAACATCATAGAAAAATATTTAGTTTTTACATTTGACTGTGAATGTTTGCAGCTGTGCAAGTAGAAAATTGTTCACGTCTTCGATGGCTGCACAAACGGCTACAGTGCATCACAGCTACATAACGGGTTTACTGTGGCGACTCGTGAGTGACGTTTCTGCACAAATACGTTCACTTGTGTTCACTGGTGATTCGTAACTACGTGTGAAGAATACGTTACGTTTTACACGCTCGTAGTAATGTCACTCTGTAATACACACTCCTGACAGAGACTATGCTGTAGATTAAACAACAACAAAAAGTTGACCGATGAGTGTTCTTGGGCGTAACGATTATTGTTTTGCTTTTTTGGGTTCTAAAACAACATATGAAGATGGCCGTATTGTCATATTTGGCCTCTTAGCACAATCATACACAAGTTCAATGGTGCATTAACCCCTAATGCTTCCGTTTCAGCCCACACATGAGAGAAAAATCAGATGAAAACAAGCAGAACAAAAGGAGCTTTACAATTGTGGAAGTACTGTGGCCACTTCAATTACAAAAAAGAACAAGAATCCATTGTGATTTCTGCAAGCTTGGAGTTAATTCATGATCATGTGCTTTACAAGTGTTGATTTGGTTGCCATCCAGGGTTTGACTGGCAATGAGCGTTTAGGAATGTTTTTCAGTCCTTATAATTGCGGAATCCATCGCTTTCTGTAACGTCGGAAGGTGGATTTTGATTGTAGGTTGTATATTCATGAAGCTAAATGTGAAACAAAACCCCCAAAATCACCAATACAATACATATTCACGCTTCCTTAAAGCGTCACGCGCAGTTAATAAAAGAGAAGGCAGAATTTTGACATAAGATGGAAAACTAAATCGTAAATTGCATTAATGCTTCTTTCTAGCGCATTTTGGTAACTTAAAATTATTGTCTTCATTAATGTATACAGTTGAGACAAACTGAATCTCAAAAAAACAACAACCTTGACTTGTTCATAATTCATATATTTGTTGAGTCTACAGCTTTCTATGATTTAAATGAGTTAAAACACATCAAACTGCATAATTTGGATTAAAATTCATTCAAATTTGGGTCAAATCAATGCTAGATCAAGTGAAAGAAATTACTAGCCAGAGCAATCCAACATAATCATGATGTGTTGATCAGATAGTTTAGTCTGAAATTTTATATTCATTTTGTACTAGTGACCAATTCATAAACGGTAACGACACTGGATTCAATTCACAGGCCATTATTTGAAACACTAATTTATCTATGCGATTCTTACATATGTAGCTAAAACCAAAATAATAAAAAAGCTGAAATTTAAAGCTGCAATGTGGAATTTATGCATCACTAAAGGTACCAAAAAGAACTGAAAAAACAAACAAAACAAAACACACCCCCAATTTTCCATTGGTTGCACTAACAGCCACGCCCACATTGCACACCATTGGTGGATCTAATGCTGCTGTGTGAAAGCAAAGCGATGTTCAGTGTTTATACTCTTATAAGAATTACACACAGCAGCTTTAATAACTGAAGTAAAGTATTAATGTGGGATTGACATTTCTACAAAAAAACAAAAAAAAAAACATAAGGGCCTTGTTTCTTACACAAATCCTCTTAGATTCAAAAATGGGAGATTTGTCCTCACTAACACTGACAAAAAGTATGAAAAAGGTACAAAAACAATAGATTATACTGTGCTAACAGCAACTGCACTCAGGTCATGAGAGTGCATTATTTTTGTCATCTCTATTTTGCCATCTACAGGTTCTTTTCTGACACCGACCTGATCTAACCTGTATTTTTTTTTTAATGTTTTTCATTTTCCAAGTGTCAGTGAAACTCACTCTGTCTTCTCCATTACAGCAAGGGACACGTCTGTGCATTAATGACATGCTGAAATTCTTTGGTGGGAAGAACAAAAAAAAAGCGGAGTCCAGATTTGGTCGTTCAGGCCGGTCCCTGTGAGGTGAGAGAGACTGGAGACTACAGATCAGTGCCGTCAGAAACGGCTCCTTCCGGAATGGAATGTTTTATGCGACTAATGTCGAAGGAGCCTTTCTCAACTGTGTGCTTCAATGAGCATCCAACTTAAGCTTAAACAAATATTTGACAACAACAACAAAAAAATCTATTGGCATCCTAAGTCATAACACACAGCTTTATGAATCAATCTGACAAGCTAGCAAACCGAAGGCTTGGGTACAACATAACTGGTGTCAGATCTAGGCCGAGCACATGGACAAAGTCTATGATTCCTACCAGACGAGGGTCCACATATGAATACTAAACATCACAGTTACATATCGACCACCAGAAATCAAACAAATGATGCTTGACATATAACATAAAGAACATCAACTCTCTACGAGAACACAATATACCTAGCAAAGTAAAACAATCAAATAGAAACATCTCAAAGTAAAAACGACTTCAAATGCAAGTTCTGTGGCATGACGTGAGGGCAGAATAGGATATATTTGATATTCCATAAGCATGTGCCCATCAGAAGACATAAAAATAAAAAAATAAAATAAAATACTTTGTCCTAACCAGGCGCATAATTGCCACAGCCAATCTGAATAAAAAATCAGAATCACAGCCAATCAAAAATGTCCGGTCACTGCAAAAACAAAAAAACACATGGAAGTGATCTTTTTCTTTCCTTTTTATTAATTAATTTGAATCAAATTTGAAGTAAACTTTTGATTATTTTGAATTCCTTCCGTTCTTAGATAAACTAGTAAAAATACATTTTAGTAAAGTTTTATGAGGTTATTTTTAGTCTCATGTTCATCAAGGATGCACTTAATTAACAAAAAATACAGTAATATTGTGAAATACTATTGCAATTCAAAATAACTGTTTACTACTTGAATATATTTTAAATGTAATTTATTCCTCTGATGCAAAGCTGAATTTTCAGCATCATTATTCCAGTCTTCAGTGTCACATGATCCTTCAGAAATCATTCTAATATGATGCTTTGGTGCTTAAGAAACATTTATTATTATTTCTGCTTAATATTTTTGTGGAAACTGAGATACATTTTTATCCAAGATTCTTTGATGAATAGAACATTCAAAAGGACAGCATTTATTCAAAATAGCAACGTCTTTCATTATGATCTCTGTGTGTCTTTACTGCAACTTTTGGTCAATTTAATGCATCTTTGCTAAACAAAAGTATTAATTTCTTTACAAAAAGAAAAAAAAAATCGAACTTACCCAAAACTTTTGAAAGGTATTTTATATAAAGTACTATATAAACTTTCCTTGTCTTTTTAATCGCTTTATTGCGGAGCACATGGTTAGGACACGGTGTAAATGATTGGCTAGCATATCGATGTTAAATAAGCAGCAAAAAAAGACAAGCATTGGCCCACAGTTTTCTACACTTTTGTTATCTCTGTACTGACTGACACCTGTAGCATAAGTGATTCCTACGGTAAGACAAACAGTGAAAAATACGAAGCCAATATTGATTTCCAATGCATGTTGTTGCAGACATCCTCATGCAACCAGGGGCAGTTCAAACCCCGAAGTGTACATGAAAATAAAAACCCCACAGGTCTTCTTAGAACCTTAAACGAGCGCTTAAATCAGAGTATGGTGTGCAGTCGTGCTGCACGGCCTCCTTCGGCATCTACCAACGTGCTCAAAGCCAACATGCTATTCTCATTAAAAATGTGGAATTTGCCCTCTCGCTTTCCCAACAGTTCCCATCAAAATCCACAAGCACCTCCTACTCCTAATAAGACTCTCCTTCTCGAACCCTCCCAGGTTTCTAAACCAAGTCAAGCCTTCCGTAAACAGACAACCTCTTCAAACCTGGTATGTTTTATTTGATTTTTAGACAAATAGTGCGTCCCGATCTCAAACTGATTGAATGATACTTGGCTTTTCCCATAAGATATACATTTAGTCTCCCTTTTATGACATATGTAGCCTAAAATCAGTGATGTTGCATTGATTGCAAGTACTAAAACGCATATGTACAGTAAAAACGCTATATATAATTATATCCACTATCCAGAACAAAAGTTACTTATCTTTAAATGACGACTTTGGTTCGTTACCACAGGCAAGTATCTTTATCTTTAAATGTAGAAGACCTCATGCACGCTAAACGAGAAGCATTTAAACAACGTTTAGGGCTAACGCTTACACCTGGAACTCAAAAAAAAAAAAAAACACGAAACAGCTCGAATGAATATGTTCAACCTAGGAGCCAACTCTCTTGTGACTAGTGACTAGCATCTGGTTCTAGAGGGTTTCCAGCCAAGTAAACTGTCGTAATATATGTAAGGCACTACGAGGTAACAATGATAAACCTAAGACTGTGGAGGAATAGATGCGCAGAGCGCACACATGCACGCAAACGCACGACCGACTACCGTGTTGAACATGCCTATGTTATTGTAACCACTTTGTGCAATCACATTGAAAGAGGAAAAACAAGAATCTATTGGTATCAGAAAGTTTCTTCATGAAATCAACGGGTGCAGACTGCTACATTCTACAAAGAGGGGCCCAGCTAATGTTCTACGGTATGACAAACGTATTTTCTTTTCTAAATGTGAACACAAACAAAAAAAAGTCTATAAATACACTAGAAAGTTTTGTCGTCCTATTTCCAGAAGATTCCTCCAGGTGTTTTGTCGGAGAGCGCGGCGGAATATGCACGATACTGCTCACCGTGTGTAATTTGGAAACGTTTAAGACAGTTCAAGGCCATTGTTATGTTTTTTTTTTCTTTGAAGAGCAGCAGATATCTGTATTTCACCTCATCCCAAAAAATTCTCGTAGGAATTTAAAACATCCAAGTCGTGACCTCGGCTCAACAGTCGGTGAATGAATTCAAGAAAGGGAAAAGCAAATAAAATCTCCCTCGAATTAAACTCTGTCTCTCCCAAACGGCCTGTTGATGAGACCTTGTTGTAAAAGAAACTACGAAAAAGCAAATTCTCCTTCTTCTGTTTTAAAAGAAACGAAACCTCCACATCACAAAATAAAAAGTTAACTGGCCCTTTTGAGAAGGCGAACTCATCTAAAAAAAAGAAAAACTCCTCAGTACCCTTCCGTTCCCTCCGAGAGTACACTTCCTCTATCCATCGGCGTCTTCATTGTCTTCAAGTTTAAGCATGAAAGGAACAAGGGGATGGGGTTAAGGGTCGATAGGCTTCAGCATGTCTCTCTGTCTCTAGGTGGGATAAGGGTAGAAATGGAAAGCAGCGATTGGCTGGGCTCCAGTGTTTCAGCTTTAGAGGTAAGGGTACTGGTTAATCTTGGTGGGGCTCAGCGGGTATCCAGTGTAGACAGTGGAGGCAGGAGAAGCACTGATGTAGGTCTGGTGTGCGAATTGGGCCTGGTACTGGCCGTGGTGCAGGAAAGGTTATTCATGTTGGAGCCAATAGCCTCGTGGGCAGCGTTGCGCTACGGGCGTCCTGAGTTCGAATCCCGGCTCGAGGACATTTCCTGATCCCACCCCCCTTCCTATCAGCTCTGATCTGTTCTATTATAATAAATGCAAAAATGGCAAAAATAAATATATATATATATATATATATATATATAAAAAAAAAAAAAGTTGATTCATTGGAAATAAAAACTATATAATACACTGAAAAGAAAAAAAAAGTGAAATTTATGGTATAATACGGCAGCTGTGGTTGCCAGAACTTTACAGTAAATAATGTACATAACTAATAAGAAAAAACTTAACGGGGAATTCTGGGAAAATCTGAAAATGTAACAGTATTTTACATGAAATGTCCCATTCGATTTATTACAGTTATTCACTGTATACAGTAAGGGAATGTACCATTAACCAATACACATTTTTACTGTTGTCTTATTAAACTTATGATAATTTTTACAGTGTATGCACAATATGAATAATATTTACAATGTCAGATTTCTAAGGTAAAACCTTCAACTCCCTAGACCACCAATTCTTTTCTAAGGCATTATCCAGTATTTTCCCTGAGCTGAATAGGCATTTAAAAGTCAAAATTGACCCTATTTATCTACTCAATAAATGTCCCTGGTCTTATTGCGCATGATTCATCAGTTATTTCACAGAAAACAAATTGTTTTCATCAAAATGTAATAACGTTCTCCACTTCCGAAATTATTTTGACATAACCAAGCCCACACAGACAGAAAAATATTAAGCAATATCCTAACATATACACAATCCAATCAAACCCTGATGGATAAAATCAAGTCCTGTCCTACATTATTTCCCACTCTCACTCAAAAATTATGTCACATTACAGAACTGTGCACTGAAATCGCTCATCCCATTTTTCTGACCTGGTGTTACTGGGCTGTTTAAGGTCGTCCTCCTCATCCGTGTCGCTGCTGATGGTGATGATGCTGACGGTCGGGCTGGGGGTGTCGGGGATGACGATGGTTTGGCGCGGTGGGTTGTGTTGACCGTGGTGGTCTCGAGTGGTGCTACATGCCTGCTCGCCTCCCCACCCCCCTCCTCCACAGGTCTGTGATGGGCCGCAGGTTGAGGATGGGCCGTTCTGAACCACGGCGCACCGAGGGGGGGTGTTCTCCTTCACTCGTTTGGAGCGTTGAGGTGATGTCATCGGCTGGGTGGAGGACACGTTGTATGCTGACGCGTTCCTAAGAATGAGGTTCTTTTATAATGGCTTTTAGACATGAAATCATATTTTTTGAACATTTTACCATATTATACCATGGCATTCATTGATAACATATGAATATGACCACCTGATGGCATTACTTTACCGTGGTAAAACCATAGTTTGTTCATTTTTTTATGTAAGGGTTGTCTGACCTGTTGTTCATCTGGTGCTGCTTGTTCTTTTTGGAGGAGGAGTTGTTGTTTGATGGCTGTCTCATGACATGAGCCACACCCACATTGAGAGGCTGCTGAGACGGCAGGGCGACGTGACCTGCCAATAAGGCTGGCTGTTGCATAATGGGATTGTAATGGCTGCCATGGGGATGTGAATTCCTGAATCAAAACAAGAATAATTAAAGCATGCCCTTTAAAGGCTACTTACATTACTGTTCATTACCGACAGCATCATTACTCCAATCTTCAGTGTCACATGATCCTTCAAAAATCACTCTAATATGCTGATTTGGTGCTCAAGAAACATGTCTTATTATTATCAACGTTGGTTGCACTGCTCAATACATTTTTTCAAGAGTTTTGAATGGTTGAAATTATACAAGAACAGCATTTTTTATATATATTTGAAATGGAAATCTTTTGTAACAACATAAATGTCTTTACTTTCACTTTGTATTAATTTAATGCATCCCTGCTGAATAAAAGTATTAATTTCTTTAAAAATATCTTACTGATGCCAAACTTGAACAGCAGTGTATTTAAATTCTGACAAGATAATACACATAGATATATGAAAAAAAAAAACAATTATGGAATGAGACAATATACATTTACTGACAGTTCAAAACTCTACTTCTATTTTGCTTTTAGAAATGTAATTTTGATTAAATTATTTTTTTTTTGGTAGTGCAGAATCTAAAATTTATATCTCATTGATTCAAGATACATTCTCTACAAACTATTCTTAAGTCAATTTATTGTACCTTGTTTTAAATAATTTACTGTCAACTTGACATTGATTATAAATAGGATTTTTAGTGTCAGAGGCAATGGTCACCAACTTTTTTTTTTTTTCAAAATATTTTGATATACCACAGCACTACTTGTCAGAATTAAATACGTCCTACATAGGAACAAACCCTAAATAGCATTTAGATGTACTATCTTCAATCATCAACTAAAATTGTATCTAAATAAAGAATAAATGCAATGCAACATTTGGCTAGAGGGGGCAGCAGTGACTGCAGCAAACAGCAGAGAAGCAGAGAACAGAATTAGATCTCAGAGGAGAAATCCCTCTCTGCAGAAAAAGTGTGACACATTTCCAACCGGACTGGCTCAGGACTACCAAGCCCTCCGGGCTGAGTTTAAGGCACTGATGAGATAATCTGCAGATATCAGCACACGTTCATCTGTAATACCTTCACGTGCTGTCCTCATGCAGGACAGCACGACCTGACTCCAATACCCTGTCCTAGCCAGAGACACGCTCCTGCACTCACTGTTCTATTCCAAGAAACCAACAAGAATTCTAAACAAATCCAGAGTATAATGAGTATCAGGTTTAAAATATTCTGTTCCTTCATTCCAAATGAATAATTAAAATGCATGTTGGCTTTGTAGGTGCATTTGCAGACTAAGCAACCTAGATAATTCAATCTGCTTAGTTCATAATCTAGGAGATTATTAAAACCCAGTGTTGCGGTACCAAACTGCCGTGAAATATATGGATCACCAGTCATGGTATCTTAAAATAGATCGGTTGAGTTCCACATGACCCGTTTATAATTAGCATGGTATAAGTATGTTTCGTAAGGATATAATTGATTTTAAAATACTAATGGAGTCCCTATTAAACATGATGAAATTGTACCAGATCTGTCTAGCTAAATAAAACAAACTAAAGATGAAAGCTTCTGTGGCATCAACATTTAAATGGAATGGAGTGAAACAGTCGGTTCCAGAAGTAAAAATCTCGTTCGTTTTCTCCATAGGGGAAATGATTTTGAGCGATAACTTATAAACCTTTAAAGACAGACCTACTGTGAAGCTAAGAGGTTGTTATTTGAGGGTAAATGCTTTTGGTGAAGCCATCAGCCTACATTATTTCGATTTAATTTTGAAATAAATATGTTCAACAGCAGAAAAATGACATCATCCATAATTCTACAGAGAACTCTCCACCAATCAAATAATCGCAACAAAGCAAATTGTGCCCAAAGAACATTTCAGAATCCACTCACTCCCATAAAGCATTGCAGTTTTATACCTTTTTTTGCTTCAAATCAAAGTTTATAATGTTGTGATTCACCTCTTATCTGGTTGGTTTAGTTCATAGCGTATAACTCCTAAACAAAGACCTTTTTATAAATCCCTTGGTGAAAAAAAAGAAAGGGAAAAATACTTCTGGAACCAAAGCTGCTGAAAAATTGGGAGGGCACTGTTGCAATCTATTGCAAAAACAATAATGGTTTCTCAAACACTCCCCATCTGCCAATGGTCAGACGAAATGATTGTCTTGCCCTCAAACTCACATTGGTTGAGACAAATGTCCATGGGCCAGGATGTAGAAAAAAAGCAATGTTTTGAAAGCTCACAAAGCCACAGTATTAACACTTTACTGGGAAATCAACCCACACTGCAAGAAAAAAAAATTGCAAAAATTGTACCTTCATGGGTACAACAGCTTGTCACTGGAGCAGTACACTCAAAGGGACAACTTTGTATCTTATCTACATCTTAAAATGGGCATATTAGTACCTTAGAGTAGTAATACTCATAATGTAATGTTTTCTGAGAATGTCCAAATGGTCTACTTACAATAGTTTTGAGCATATTAAAGGGATAGTCCAACAAAATTATTTACTCCCCCTCATGTTTTTCCAAACCTGTATGCATTTTGTGGAACACAAAAGAAGATATTTTGAAGAATGTTAGTAACCAAACAGTTTTGAGCCCCATTTGGGATCAACATTCTTCAAAATATTTTGTTTAACAGAATGCATACAGGTTTGGAGTGACATGAAAGTGAGCAAATATGACAGAATTGTCATTTTTGTGTAAACTATCCTTTAGGTTAGAACAGAAAAAAAACAAAAAAACACTAATGGCCTAAGAATAAATGGGCTGCCCTATGTACTGTAGCAAGCACAATAGTCCTCTTTAGCGGTGACGGCATGTTGGTTTCTCACCTCCAGTTGGCCAGAGGCTGCGAGCTGGTCATGGAGTCGGGGATGACGGTGGCATGTTGAACAGAGGTGTGTGTGAGCTGCTGCCACGCCGGCGGAAGGAGAATCTGTTGAGTACCAGACGGCCAGGCTGGCTGTAGAGTAAGGATGAAGGGAAAACACAGGGTTAGCGTACAGAAGTCAGGAACATCTCCAGCAGAAGGTCGAACATCTACAGATAGTGGAGCTCATGTGATCCTCATGTGTGAGTAGGATATGAACGGCAATAGCAACCAACAGCGCACGGACTCAGTGACCTCTTGCGATTTAATTGGCGTCAGTGTGAAGACCCCATAACCTGGCACATGAAATCGCAGGGCTGCGGCGCAGCTAAACAGGGCAGGGTACTGCATCCACAGATTTAGAGAGAGGAGAAAAAGGATACGGCTATTTAGAGAAATGACCGCTAGTAAGTGCTAAACTGTGCCAAACAACCACCAAAGGGGTCATTTAGTTATTTAAGACACAGTAGCGTCAGCGTTCAGGCCTAGATTCAAGAGACATCATTTAATGAAATTGTTCTAACAAAATATGAACAGAAGAGATACATTATAAACAATTTTATAACCCATCCATCTTCTAAGCTAATTATTCTCTTGGTCTGCAAATGAAGATGTGAGCAGGACGGCAAATAATGGACAGCATAAAAGATCTCCCTCTGGAATAACAAAAAGATTGTGCCACTTTCGTTGGAACTTCATTCATTTCCCTCCCTCGATTCCTTGGCAGCGGTATCTAGATGACGGCCTTGGCTCCTGCCTATAAAAAAGATAAGACTCTGCCTTAATAAAGAGATGTGGCATCTCCCAGGCAGTGCGCTGATGTGTTAGACATTTTCCAAATCAGCTCCGACTTTAATTAAATTCAGGGGCCCCATTCAGAGGCTTTGTGAGGAGCTGCTTTGTATGGTGGGTGAGGAGTGCGGGGAGTGCCAGGCATAATTTGCCCAGAGATGTGAGCTTGAAGAAGAGTGTCTGCAGCTCTAATAGTTTAATGCAGCTTTATTGATTAGCAGTTTAATGTACAACTAATGAATTGTTTCTTTAATACACTTTGCACATCTATTTACCAGTCCATCGGTATGGGCCACAGCACTCGCACATATAAGGGACGGTGACGGGGAAGAATGAAAACATGCTTTTACGATGTTTGAAAGGCTGTGATAACACATTTAGCATTGTAAGAGAAGTGAATCTTGGCATTTTTCTGGAATTCCAGCTATTTAAGGTCAACTTTCTGGAGTGCACTGGACTGATATTATTAGAGCGATAACAAACTATAATCATCCTGTCACTAATTTGTTTTGTGTTTTATCAATTTTGTTATAAAATAGTTTTATTTTTATTCAAATGTTCTTCATTTTTAAATTTTTATATAACTAATTATTTAATAATTTTATATAATATAATTATTAATTAATTTTATTATTTTAACCTCAAAGTAGAATGAATCAATCAAAATTGTATAGTCGACAGGAGAAACTGGAACTGGAACGTTTTATATTTGACACTTCCTTTAACTTCAGAAAAATAAAATAAAATATTAAATAAAATAAGAAATCTTTAAACCTGAATTAAGAAAAGCATAAAGATTTTGTTTTAGAAGCACATTTTAGCATAAAGAAATCCTAAACATTCAGCAGAAAGAAAGAAATAAAGAAAGGAAGCTGACCTGAGAGAAACTAGATTTTTTAGTTACTTTTTATTTGAGCTAAATAAAATAAAATAAATCTATAAACTGATTTAAGAAAACACTTTATGTCAGCATAAAGAAAGAAAGAACACTTACACTATCATTTAGCACCTCATTTAATTTTGCCTGTTGCACAAGGCCTAAAAGTGCATACTTTGAGTATGTCTCAACACCTCTACATGCTTTTTCCACCCATGACAACAGTGACACGAATAATTCCATCAGAACTCCCCAAAGCCCTTTGCCTACATTCCTGACACTTTGCATCCTCCTTTCTCACTCTGGGTTAGGTTGTGTAATTGTACCGTCTGGCCTGGAACGCTAACACAGATAAGAGTAGAGTTTTCCATGCAAGGCCATCTCTGCAACGACCCCCCTAACAGCTTTTCTGCCCTCGCGGGGTGAAAGCCTTTTATCACCCCCGGGGCTCCGAAAGCACCGCTGCTCCCGCACCAATTGTTTTCGCATTTTCTGCATTCCTGTTCCAGATAAAGGCCGAGGCCTTCTAGAAACCCACTCCACTGGCACCAGGAGCGATGTGGTCTGGCTGATTGGGTTGAAGTGGGGAGAATGGGCGGTTGAGGCCCTGAAGTAGTGATGAACAAGTATCCCCATCCCCATCTGCCTTTTCCAATGCAGCGCTCCGATAATCACCAGTGGAATTTATGCACGGGTTTTCCTGAACGCGAGGAACAATAACGATGCATTACTATACTTAAGCAGTTGGGTAGAGCCATGAAACACCAACACAAGCAAAGTGAAAAATTCTGCAGACAACTTACAATTAACTAAACGATCCTGAACCTTAATATCCTAGTAAAAAAAACATCCAGTCTAGCTTTCAGTATCCATAGACGTCATTAAAAGAAATAGTTCACTCACTCATCATTTACTCACCACAATAGCCTATTGTTTCATAATAGTATGACTTTGTTTCTTCAGTGGAATAAAGATGAATGGAGACTGGAGCTTTTAAACTTAAAACTGATTGCAAAAACATCATAAAAGTGGTACATATGACTCGTGCGTCATATTTCAAGTTTTCTTAAGTCATATGATAGCTTTGTTTGATAAACAGACCAAAATGTAGCCTGTTATTTGCTGATGGTCTTTTCCTCTAATGAGCTGCTGTGACTCATTCCGGTCCAATTTGAACTTCGATTTGTGAATTAATCATTCAGACTGATTTTGTGAACTGAATCAATTGATTCACTGATTTGATTCAAGAGTATGATTCATTAATTCTTTGCTGAAATATTGCTGCTTCTCTCATAAACATGCTATAACGGATATCAAGACATTAAAAATCAACTTAAATTTTGGCCTGTTCCTCGCACAATGCTTCAGAAGATTCGGAATGAGTCATATGGACTAATTTTTGATACTTTTATGGCGTTTCATTTGTCATTTTGGAGCTTCGCAGCCACAGTCCTCATTCACTTTCATTAAATTGAAAAGTGTAAACAGAATATTGTTAAAAATGTTATGTTTCACAGAAGTCAGTCAGTCATACAGGTTTAGAACACGAGTAAATAATTTCCATTTTTGGCTGAACCTTTCCTTTAAGCAGTAGAGTCTTCAAAAAGCAATAAGAGCTCAGCTCAGCAAAACCGAAAAATGTTGTGGATAAATGACAAATTAGCTAAATGCCTCTGAACCTCGTCACCCTGTCTCAAATTTAAAAGCCGTCTGGGCCCTGCCTTGTGGCTCCAGAGGATAGACAAATCCCTCATCATCCACAGACCTCATTTAAAGCCAACCTCAGTCTTGCTCATCAAAGCATGACTTCCTCTAACTCCAGGAAAGAAGCACAGTTGCCTGGACCTTAGTGGAAGCAGGAAAGCAAACCATCAGTGGGGTAAAATCTCCAGTGGGGAAAGACAGGTCACTCCAGTCACTACAGTAGAGCAAACCAAGATAAATCCAACCCGGCTTCAATTAATCTATTGGCCATGAAATGAGAGTGTCTTCTCAATTTTGTCGAAGGGAAAGTGAATTATACTTATATCATTAAAACAAAGTAGGTCATGCTAATTGCTCTTCGTTGGAGCCAAACTCGGATGTAATTGAGATTTTGGGAAAGGCTGAGGGGTGTAATTAGTTTAGGAAATGTGGCTTTGTATTGCTATGGCAATGGGGGCAATGTCTGGCTATACCTGTGTTAGAAGGCCCGGCTGTATCTGTAGAGGTTGGGCACCGGGGGCCTGTGTTACTATGGGAACTGCATTCTCCATCCGCACCGAGTAGCCAGTGTGTTTGGAGGGTGAAGCTTGCAAACCTGGGAAGAAATAACAAGGAAACACCATTAGTTGGCAAAATGTAAGAAATAGCTCAGTCAGAAATTTCAATTCTGTCAGTATTTACTCATTTCAAATGCATATGACTTTTAAAAGAATCTTTACACAGCTCAATGAGCACATAAAACATTATAAAAGTCTAATGAAAGCAGCCCATAAAATTACACTACTGTTCAAAAATATTATTTTTATGTTACAATAAAAACAGGGCTGTTGTGAAATATTAACACAATTCAAAATAATTGTTTTCTATTTTAATATATTTTAAAACTACATTTATTTCTGATATGGCAAAGCTGAATTTTCCTACCTTTGTGGAAACCAAGATTTTTTTTTCAGGAATCTTAGATGAGTAGAAAATTAAAAATAAATATTTTATGAATGTCATTACTGTCACTTTCGATCAACTGAATGCATCCTTGCTGGATAACAATTAATTTCTATTATTTCTATTATATTAATTAATAAAATCGTACTGACTCCAAACATTTGAATGGTTTCGAAGCTTTCTGTTATGAACAGATTAAAACTTACATTTTTCAGTTTGAATCTTGGTGCAAGTTTCTGTGAAATATTACTTATTACTGATAATCACATAAATCTGACTTCAGAAGACTTGGAATATAGCAGCACCAGTCTTATGGACCATTAATATGATACTATTTGCCTTAAGTAGATACTATGAACTGCTGTTATATGGAAAGAAAGATATAAGTAAAAATGATAACAGAAAACAGGTTTCAAAAGACCTTAGGGTGAGTAAATAATGACAGAATTGCAATTTTTGAGTAAACTAGTCCTAAAATATAATATACAGCTAAGCTGAACCTATATATCAGGAATATCCAGGGTTTCGTATAAATTAAATTAGCACTCACCTTGGAAGCCAGGTGGGCAGACGATGAGGGCCTGCTGGAAGGGATCGGGTCGGGCAGCGCAGAGCTGTGGCGCACCGGGTTGGAGGTTCATGGTCCTGGGGGCCACGGCAGCCATGGGGGCCGCAGAAGGCTGGTAGAGTGCAGATTGGTAATTTAGTATGGAGACATCGGGATTGGTAAGGGAAAGGGTGGCACTGGTGGAAGAGGGAGCCAGGTTGGTGGCCTAAAGGAACCGATGGGATCAAACGAACAAACAAAGACAAACAAACAAAAGCATGAGAAAGTGGGTGTGGCAATTGGGTGGAGCAACAATGATTTCAAATAATAGCAAATGATAAACAAACTCCTTAAAAATATTTATTGATATACAGGATGTACAAAAATGTTAGCTGATGAAAACTGCAGGCAGCAAGCACAGGAAGCATGTTTCGTGTTAAATTTGGAGTAATGTCTTAGAGCGAATACCATAACACTGTTCTGCAACTTCAACTAAAACGCTTTATTAGCTGTTATTGTGTGCAGACAGCATTAGGGTTCAGGCATTTTCTATAAAATGACTTATTGAGCGTAAGGAAGGAGGAGGTGAGAGAGCTTCAATCGATGCTCTTGTGTTACAGTCTCCATCAATGCTAGGACCCTTCAACTCATTGAATTTGCTCAGTCTCATTAGCAGCAGATAATGGTCCCTCTTTGCGCTAAAGCTATGATTAAATATACACACAGATCTAACTGGTGAGGGGAGAGAAAATCTGTTCTTCAAAGCCTATGCACTAGATTTCCCCTCCAGTGCTTTTTAATCCGGCCTGACTGCAGCACATTCATCTGTTTATTCATCTATCAATGTGGAATTTGCGCCGTCTAGGAGGTTTGATGAACAAGGGAACTCCCTCTCCTACATCTAGAACGGTGAACCGAATGTGCTTCTCATAAGAATCGTGCAGGTCCTTCCATCATAGTCACTCTCTCTATATAATGATAACACAAGACAAAAATATAGCCAGAAGTAAAAATATGAGTGCAGTAACATCACCAGAGAGATGGAAAGGGTGTGATTTCTGCTCTAAATGAAAAAGAAGATCCGAGCCATGGCTTAGTAGTTAGTGTGTATGCTCCAGTATCAATATTTTGAGTTCTAGAGCTCAATTGGGAAAAGTGTGAGTTTGGCCTGCTTATGGTTGCATGCATCTATTCAGAAGGCATGGGCGCAGGCTTAGCAGTCTGTGCACATGCTAAGACATTCATAATGTAGAGCCTTGGTGCTAATATAAGAAATGTGGGTTTGAATTTGGCCTGTTTATGGTTTCATGCGCCCTATTCAAAACTTCCAAATCGAAAAAAAAGGTCTGAGCTATGGCTTGGCAGTCTGCATACATGCTAAGACATTCAAAATGTTGAGCCTTGGTGCTAATATAAGAAATGTGGGTTTGAATCTGGCCCGCTTTTGGTTCAGTTCGCCAATTCCGAACTTGCAAAACTAAAAAACGGTCCGAGCTATAGCTTAGTGGTCTGTGCACATGCTAAGACGTTAAAATTTTGAGCCTTGGTGCTAATATAAGAAATGTGGGTTTGATTCTGACCTGCTTTTGTTCCCAAGTGCCAATTCAAAACTTATCAATATAAGACAATTCATGGCCTATTCATGATCCCATGTGTCTGTTTAGAACTTCTAAAACTAAATCAATATTGAATGCTTCTAAAACAAAGCTCAATTTTGAGCTTTGGAGCTTATTTGGGGAATCAGGGTTTGAGTCTGGCCTATTCATGGTCTCATGCGCCTATTCAGATTTCTCAAAACTAAAAAAAATGGTCTGAGCTATGGCCTAGCAGTCTGTGCACATGCTAGGACATCAAAATGTTGAGCCTTGGTGCTAATATAAGAAATGTGGGTTTGAGTCTGGCCTGCTCTGGTTCCCATACACCAATTCAAAACTTTCAAAACTGAAAATAAAGGTCTGAGCCATGGCTTAGCAGCCTGTGCACATACAGATACATCAAAATGTTGAGCCTTGGTGCTAATATAAGAATTGTGCGTTTGAGTCTGGCCTGCTCTGTTTCCCATACGCTAATTCAAAACTTTCAAAACTGAAAAAAGGTCTGAGCCATGACTTAGCAGTCAGCGCACATGGTCCAACATCAATATTTTGAGCTTTGGAGCTCATTTGCAAAAATATAAGTTTGAGTCTGGCCTATTCATGATCTCATGTGCTTGTTCTGAACTTCTAAAACTAAAAAAATGTCTAAGCTATGGCTTAGGGGTTCATGCACATGCTCATGCACACGGAGCCGATATAAGGAATGTAGGTTTGAGCCCCTTTCTTTCCACATGTCTTCCTGTACTATCTCAGACAATAAAAAGGCACAAAAATCACAGAAACACAAGGTCAAGGGTCAAGTCTGAATAGGTCTTTTCCATGCGCATTTCCATGTAAAATGCCTCTCATTTCTTCTAAGATATGGACGAAATTGAACAATACAACAGACAAAAAAGATGTGCATAAATGCTGGCGCACCATCAAAACCTGTTCATTTAATAGAGGCTAGTGTTATTTACTTTCATCTGTTACCAAAGCAATACAGTTTAATCTCATGCCACCGCTAGTAATTATAGACTTTTCATTAAGGTTTGTATGGGGAGAATTCAGTACAGCGCTTTTCATTTTTCATTTTCCCCGTTTAACAAGGCCGACGAGCACCAGGGGAGAGAGTTAATCAATACGCCGCCATGGCATTCATCACACAAAATAAACACTTCAGCCTCACAGCTGGCTAATGCTACACAAGCTTTCCCTTCGAACACATCGAATGCCCTACACAACGTTCTTCTCATGAAGTTAGAGAGAAGCCGGAATGCTATATACAGCCCTATGACTTTTTGACTTTAGACATGTTTATTCGAAGAGGAAAGTCACGGTTTGAGCCGATCTAAGAACTCAAAATGAAGGCATTATGGGATTCATGCCTGGCCCTCTGTCAGCAGTTTAGACAAACGCTCCCTGATGAAGCTAAACTGCACTGAGGCAAAACAGGAGGAAACAAAAGGAGAGAAGGAAACAAAGTGGTGCAATCCTTAAGGCTGCAAAGTAGTAAAATGCAAGCCAAGCAGGAAGTAGAGGCTGTCATGTTGTTAATCAGCACATTGTGACAGAGGGCTGCAAGGCTAACACACACACACACACACACACACACACACACACACGCAGCCCAAATGGCCCATGATATGACAAGTGTTCTGTCCACTGAAGGAAGTCATCCGATACTGCCAGTGGTCAATGGGCCAATACTACTCTAATTTCTTTGGATTGTCCCATTGCAAATGAGTCTGTGCATGTAATACACTAAATTATCTGCAGCTTTAAGAGAAACTAAACTGAACTAGGGATCGTTTTAACTGAATTCAAATAAAGTTTAACGTCACTATAGCTTGGTGCTGTGTGCGTTCTGACCTGCAGTAGCTGTAGTTTTGAGGTTGGAATGGCATAGAAATTACTTAATAAATTAGCAAAAATAAACAAAAATCAACTTTTTATGATGTGCTCAAAAATGAAACTGGTCCATACTCCACAAAAATATTAATGTTACTTTTTTTTAGTAAAACATCCATAAAATTAAAAGATTTACTTGAGAAGAAAAATTGTATAATTTAGCTTGTTATAATCACAACATTTAACACAATTTAGAGAGGATTATGTTTAAAATAAGAGATCTTTTTTTTGTAAATTATTGTTTATGATTGATTTATTATTTATTTTTTTACATTCATTTAATTATTGTTTAAGGATTTGTAAAAAATAATATTTTATAGGAAATCAGGAAAAAACATTTTTACAATTTTTTTTAACAAATGTCAGCTTTTTATTTAAAAGTTATTAGTTACATATTACAAATATTTAGTAATGTAAAAATGTAAATAACACTTAACTATTACATTTAATTATTTATGATTTATGATCATTTATTTAATTACATTTAGTTAATCTTCCTTTTCCAATTCATTTATCTTGTTAAAAAAAATGTAAGGACATTTTTTACTGGAAATCAAGACAAAAATTATTATTATTATTTTTTTGCAAATGTTTCGTATACTATAAACTATTATTTACAAATTACAAATATTTAATTATTTACATATTTAAATGATATTTAAATATTTATGACCTTGTAATTTATTTAATTATATTCATCATCTTAATTCTCAAGTACATTTAACTTGATGATTTATTGTGGTGCATTAACTTATTTTCTTTTTAAACTCATTTGTTCATTTTAGCTTACAGGGTCTTTTTTTTTTTTTTTTTTAGCAATTTTGACCCAGCTATTCAGAAACTTACATGACAAAAATTATTTTTGCACTTTACAAAGACTAAAAAATATCTAAAATGCCAAACGTAGGGGTTATAGCTGTGGTTAACCTATCATAACTTTAACTTTATTTAAGAACAATATAATGGGACGTGGCTAGTTAGATGTGTGTGTGGATACGGACCTGGCTATGCACAGTGTTAAGCTGGTTGTTGAAGGTCATGGTGAGATTGGTGGAGGTGCTGGGGGCTACATGTGTTATAAAGGGCGTCTTGCTCTGATTGACTGTATCGTACATGTTCACCCGACGCTTGCAAATCTCCATGTTCTGGAAGCAGGATTTGACGCTGCAAGAAAAAAAGACATGGTCAGCGATCTAAACCTGATTTGATAAAACTACATAACCTTACTGTTGGTGTAGTTCAACTGACTGTGTGCTGTGTGGGAAGTCCAGCAAGTGTGTCATTGTGACAAAAGGGTGGTTGAGTGTCTCTATGGGCATTATTCTCTTGTCTGCGTCGATGGTCAGCATCTTGGTCAGCAGGTCAATAAACTCCCTTCTGTCTGCCTTCTCCGCCAGCATGTCGCTGCCCTCCAAGTCTGTGGTCATATTCACCTGCACACAGCAAAAAGAGAAGATGAGAGTGAGAAATGAGAGAGAGACAGACTGACTGATGTACAGAGACCAACAAGTACTTTAGGGATCTTCAAACAAGGTTAACCAGCTCTTGCCTTTTTTTTTTTTTTTTTTGATGTAACATTGACTAACTCATCGCCATGGAATCTGAGCCCAGAAAATTCCTCAGAAAACAAAAGAATTCCCAAAGAATTCCATTGAATTTCACATACTAAAAATAATAATCACAAGGTCAATCAGCACAGAAATTGTAAAAAAAAAAAAAATGCTGTAATGCTTTAATGCAAAATTTAAAAAGTTAATATTTGTAAATGCACTGGACAGTGATAATCCATGAACATAGGCGGCAGGGTAAATTAGCTACCATAATTGCAGAACAAATCATCCTTAGTAGTCGAATGAGTGTTGAATGCGAGCCTGGGTGTTCCCAAATGATGGAATCTGTCAGCTGTATCTTCTGATCCAACTTACATCTTGCAGCTTTTGTAAATAATACATGTGAGTATTTGTGTGTGAATAACTCCCACAGTGCTTGACGTGTACAACTCTATTAATATACACAGGTCTGTCAGTCAAAAAGTGTGTGCATTCTCAGAGGACAGCGATAACCTTTGTGATATTCCCAAATATTTGCCCTCACATTTACAGATATTTACTTATGAACGCTTCAGATGCCAGGCCAGATATTCCCATCTGTCTGAGTATGTGAATAAAACAAAAAGTAAAATAAATGTAAAAATATATTATATTATATTATACTAGTATATACAAATGAATATATGAAAAGAAGCAAATATAAATTAAACAGACATGGAAAAGGACTTTTTAAATATGACCTTTATATTACAAAGAAATACAGTGACCTGTAATATATAATAGAAAAACATAATATAATATAATATAATTAGTGCTGTCAAACGATTAATCGCGATTAATCGCATCCAAAATAAAAGTTTTTGTTTACATAATATATGAGTGTGTACTGATATATTTATTATGTATATAAATACAAACAAATGCATGTATATATTTAAGAAAAATATGTTATGTTTATACATTAAACATATTTATATACAATATAAAATATAATAATATAAATATATAAATGTATATACGTAAATATTTTCAAAATATATAATGAATGTGTGTGTATTTATATATATATATAATAAATAAACACAATACACATGCATAATATTATGTAAACAAAAAACTTATTTTGGATGCGATTAATCGTTTGACAGCACTAAATATAATATAATATAATATAATCTGTACATATAATGTATATGAAAAGAAGCAAATATAATGAAATATTTACTAAATATAAATTTTTAAAAATCAAACATAAAATACAAAACCACAGGGGGAAAAAAGTTTAAAAGATTATTCAAATTATTCTAAATTAAAAAAAAAAAAAACAGTTAAAATAAGTTAATAAAAATCAACCCCTGGGACATAAAAGTGCCTGTATTTAAATAACCATGCTTTTATTGTCTGATAGGATATTTTGCCAGAGGTTAAAAGCAGTGCAGCAGAGCATTTTTATTTTATTTTATTGGGAATCCCTGTCAGAGATGGCTAACGCATTTTTCATACTGCCATGCTGTTTATCTGTGGCCTAACCTCCCCGAGCTATCAGATAAACCGCCAGTCACCAGCGCAAATCACGGTCCTCTTTTATGCATGCTATTTTAGTCCTGCTCTCTCTCTCTCTGTTTTCCATCACACTGCTGCACAATAAAGAAATAATCTAAACACGCGAGGAAAAATAATCATTCAGGATGTAGAATATGAACTGCAAGCGAAGGGAGTGACTGCATAGCTACCATACACAAATCTTGCAAAAACAGTTACGCACGCACACTTAGTGAACTGTCTCTTGAAGATGATGGAACAGAGAACAATCATTCTTCTTGCTCTCCATTTCACATCTGACTGTTGTATTTAAATCGTTTGAATACACAAGTGCTGTATCTCTGAGTGCAACAATTTAAAGACATATCATGAGACAGCTGTGCAGATGTTCCACATACAAACTGACAAGTGCTGCAACAGTGGAAACAGAAAACACACACACACAGAGAGAGAGATGTGCATATTCTATGTTCTAAAGATTTCTTTAGCGTCTAAACTATTATTTGTTGAGTAAAGGTGGCTTATTTATTTATAGACAGACAGACAAGACAGATAGATAGATTTGCTTGTTTGTTTGTACATTTTGTATCATATTTTTGTATATTTAATGATTATTATTAATTTGTTTGATTTCAAATCATTTGTTTTATGATTATTATTATTTGTTTATTTCAACAATTATTATTATTAATAATAACAACAACAATCTGAAATCAAACAAATTAACAATAATAATAATAATTATTATTAATAATAATAATAATAATTATTATTATTATTATTTGTATTATTAATTTTGATACTCATTTTATACTCACAACTCATTTTTATTTGATTGCTATTAAATAATAATAATAATAATAGTTATTATTATTATTATTATTATTAGGTTTATTTTCACATTGTTTCTGTTTTGTTTTATTATCAATGATTTTATTTTTTATGATTTATTATGAAATAAATAAATAAATAAATATTAATTTTACTCATAACTCATATTTATTTGATTGCTAATAATAATCATAATATAAAACATATTATAATAATTAAATTATTATTATTATTATTTGGTTTATTTTCACATTGTTTCTGTTTTGTTTTATTATCAATGTTTTTTTCTTCTGCCTTGTACCTTCCAGCTTATCAAAGATACTCCCTATCTTATTGAAAAAAATACTTTTTTCATTCTTTTATGTTAATGAAGTTTACTGTGTACTACAATAAGTGTACTAGCCAGTGCAGTAAACTGGACTACAGAGCAAGTCAGTACTTAGATCATAACACCAGAGGACCTGACCTGAAAATGAGGCTCTGATGTAATTCTTGTAAAACAAGGGTGTTGTGAAGGACATGAGCATGGATACATTATAGATTAAGTGTATCCAAGCATAAGCATATTTCCATGAATTCATCTGAATTTGCTGTGAATTAGATCAGCCGTTTTTATCTGATGAACTGGGATGGAGTCTGTTCTTATGGGAAAAATCCAAATTGAGGTTTGCGTCATTGTTGGCAAAAGCGTGACCCGGCCCGTCCAGACATCTGACGACCGGTCGGTGATGAGGCGTGCGGATTTCAATAACTCGCAGAAGGCAAAAGGTCATAAGTCATGTGTCTTATCACTGAAGAGCTCCAAGGGGAATAAGGTTCCCATGCACCATTGTGCTTTTGAGTCATGTCCTAAGTTACATAACATCAAAGTTTTCTGCGTAACAGAGGTGTGAGTATTACTGGAAACTTGCCACACAGAGTTGGAGACAAAACATTTTTGAGGGTGAGGGAGGTTATTATTAGCCATGAGCCAGATTTCTGCTCCTGTTGAAGCTGAAGCAGGTTTTGTGGTACGAACAAAGGTACGAAACTCCTACCTGTGCCATATCATCAAGGCAGTTGAAGATGTACTTGCGAGCTTCTTTAGATTTGATCCCTGTCTCTGCCTCATGGTCTTCAGGTGTCTGCAAATACAAACAGGAATACTATCAGCACTATCCGGATTCATCTTTCAAGATGGCTCCACTTGAAAAAAAATTTATAAAACACTGGAGAAGCACTTTCAACATCAGGAATAAGCCGAGAGAGTTCATCCACAAATGAAACTTTGTTTACTCACTTCTCATGTTGATTTAAACCGGTATGACTTTCTTTCTTCTGTGGAACACGAAAGAAGCTATTTTGCAGAATGTTGGTAACCAAATAGTTTCCAAACAGTTCTTTTTTTGTCCATACAATGGAAGTCAATGAGAACTGAAACATTATTCAAAATATCTTCTCTATGCAGAAAGAATTGCATAGAGGTTTGAAACAACATGAGTGAGTAAATGATGATAGACTTTTCATTTTTGGATGGACTTTTACTTGGAGGAACATCATGAAACATTTAAAATCAATTGGGAAAAGTAAAAACATTTAGAAATTTGGAATGAAACCCACAGTAAAGAAAACTCACAAATTAAATCTCATTCATGAGACATATGCTGAAGAGTTCTGCTTCTTTTCATTTTCTCCTGAAAAGAATCTCAAATGTGTTTCCTATAGACGAGAGCTCAACACACTCTCAAACTGTGCTCAAAAATACCAAATTTGTAATCAAAACAAGTCAGAGATTTCAATATAAACTTAAATATTTCTCAATCCCTTTCAAGTCCAAATTAGTTGGGCTATGCTATCCATATTAATTTTAAGTCAACAGTATGTTTTCTTTTTTTATAGAAACATCTGAGGCAAAGTTGACGCTTAAACGGAACATAACTGAAAACTCCATTAAGATTCCTGAACTATGAAAGATAAAACCTTATCTCTGGGAAGTACTTGACATTGGGTTGAGTATTTCTACAGTCCAAGACACAAGCATTGAGGGCCAAGGGGGTATTGACTATGTAGGAGGATACGTTTTTCTAGTTTTATTGGATCTGTATCATATATATGGGGGGTTAGGAATGCAGCTTGGAGTTGCATTGGGGTTCAATAATATCAAAGTTTCCCCATGTGAAGCTTTGCAAAGTTCACCAAAAGTTAATCTAGAGGGAAACTCTATTGACTATGGGCAACCAGCCACCGGCGCAGTAAGGATGGGGGAATGTGGAGAGAAACAGAGCAGAAAGGGACGGAAGAATGAAAGAGGGAAGAATAAGAACGGGACGTTAAGCAGGATTTATCCCACGTCGCTCTGGTTGCCAAGTCCTCTCACACAAAACCCATTTAGCTCGCATTAGCCTCTTGGTCTGTTTACAGGGTGTAGTGGATGCGTCAATTTAACTTAGTTTAGAGAGTGAGGGAATGAGAAAGAAAAAAAAACATTGTCGCTGCATATTATATGCGAACCAAGTGAGACTAATTAAGGAAGTGAGAAAGAGAAACAGGGTGAGGGAGTTTACCTTCAGTCTCCATAGAGGATAGGTGGAGTCAGGGTCTCTGTTGAAAAACCTGGTTGTTTTCGTCCCTGCGCTTAACAGATACTCTGCTGGCAAGCCCTGCGTTTGAGAGATGTACCGGATCTGGTGGAGGACATAAACACAGGCGATAGGAGATTTACAACTAACGTCACACATTAGGTGCTGGATATTCACTACTTGGACATGTACACTTGGAAAAGGGGATTTTCTTGCTTGTTTTATATATAAAGGTTTAATATACATAGATATACAGTCACAATGCAAAGTCAATTTAATGAAACTAAGCTGTTTCATAGTATTAAAGATGACAAAGTCAAAATGACTTTTTTTTACAACACATTTTCTGTTAAATATCCTGTTTGACTTCTGATTGTGAAAGTAAAATGGGCTGCAAATTGCATTTCATGTAGAAAATGTTTTTTTACAAAAAATAATAAAATAAAATAAGATAAACATAAAAAGTTTGGAGATCTCTGACCTGCAAATCTGTATAGTGAAGACATTTAACTAGCAGATGATCTAAACATCGTAGACTGACCTCTTGGTCCAACACAAAGTATGCAAATTTAAAGCGGCATTTAATATTGCAGGAAATTGGAGCAGATTTTGTAAATGCATTCTATTTGAATGTATTATTAGTTAGCAATTTTTTAAAAACAGAAATGTTAGAACCTGACATCAAAGTCTTCAAAACATCAATGCATATAACAAATAGAACACAAAGTCTATAGTCTATACAGTATGTATATAGAATAGTATAATTTTCAGTGCTGGATAGTAAGTGATTACATGTAATTCAAAAATGTAGTACTTGTAATTAGATTATATTACCTTTTAAAATGCTCATAATCAGATTATAGTTTCTATTACATATTTGATAATATAATAAATAATAATAAAATTATTATTATTATTATTATATATTTTTTTCAAGGTCTTTTCTACGACATACAAGTCTAAAAGTACAGTAGCAAAAACAGCCTTTAATTCTAATGATCAGGGTGGAAATGAAATGTCATGAAAAATGAAATGATTCTGGTGCAAGAAACCCTGACTAATATTGTAAGCGGACTTCTGGGAAAAGCAACAGTGAGCTGCATTAAAACAGACTGATGACATTTTGTCTGCTCGAAAACATATCAGTCACTTGGCTGCCACGTTGATGACACAACTTCAGCATTCCAGCATTAGAAGTCGAGTAAACAGCATCTGTGATGAATGCTGTCACCATGAGACTGACTTCCCCTGCCAAACCCTCTTTTTACAGGTCTGTCCGGGTGCCGCAATTACACAGAATGCCATTCACATACCTGAAAGACGTAAATACAAGAGCTTGGCAGCCGAAGGAATCCACAATAATAATAATCATCTCTTCCACAGCCCCTGCCAAACGGCCAATCTCGTATCCTGAGACCGAGCTCATAGCTGCTCAAGAGACCTTGATCACCGCATTTGGCTCATTTACCATCTTGTGAAACAGAATAGCAGATTTTGTTTCCATTCAATTTTTGAGGATTCTTGCTGGTGATTTCAAAGTGCTGTAATTAGAAATGAGCAGCAAAGACCGGAAGTAACTTCTCAAGTTTTGCTTTCAAGTGAAAATCAAAAGTAAACAGGGAAGCCGAGGTGAAATGCCATGAGTCCTTAACATTCGATTGCTTCCCAATCACAAGACCTCATAAATGCACCAAATGAGGGGCTGAAAAAATCCTATTACTCTGTAGTACACAGAAATTGCTGTTCCATGAGGCCAGAATAATTTTTTTTAAGAGAAGGCCTCGCTGTAGAGCTCTGGATCTGGGCTAATTGGGCAGTTTGTGGCATGTGTCCAGAACTACGAAGGGGCCAGAGAGAGATGAAAGTCAGAGAGACGACAAACACACACACACACACACACACACACACACACACACACACACAGCACTTCAGGAGAGCTGAGAGAGCAGGGGCCCAGCCAACAGTCAGATTTGTTTTCTCTCTCTTAAAGGTGGGGTAAGCGATTTTTCAAAAACGCTTTAGAAAACTGATTCGGGCGGAATAGCAAAACAAACTTGTAGCCAATTAGCAGTAAGGGGCGTGTCTACTCATGATGTGGAGGAGAGAGCGTTCAGTGCACGGAACGGACATTAGCCGAGCCGAGCGACAGAAAGATAGAGATGGCGGATAAAAAACAAAAGAGGAAAACTTCTGCGGAACAAAAGAAGGCTTAAGGCAATAAGGCAAGAAGTAGGACCCGTGTAAATATCAGATCAGCTTTCCAGCCCTGGGGAGAACTCAAGGAGCGGAAGGCCTGCGATCGGACGTCGAGGTTGCTTTGTTTCTTCTCGATAGGTGAGTAACACCGTGTCTGCGCCGCAACAGCTAAAGTTTGTCTAGTACACTGGATGCGACAAAGCGACCGTTGAAAATCATTTGAAATTTGTGTCAATACGTCATAAATAGAACGCAGCAGCAGTTTTATGTCTGGGATTTGTCGTGTCGTGCCCCGCTGCATCCAGTGTAGACCATAGATATGTATATATATCTATAGTGTAGACAGCATCACTGATTATAATGAGTTCCATAGTATTTTGTCACGCCGCGCCACTCACGTCCGGTGTAGACACGGTGTAACACAAACAGTACTTGAGGGATGTTTTCGCAGACATTTTCCGAGAAAGTAGATTGCTCTCTCGGCAGGGCCACACATACACACAATCTCACACACATAAAAAAAAAAGCAAGACTCCTCTGATTCATCTCGCTAAATGAATATCTTACAGGAAATATCATTTCATAAATCATTTTCCAATTGAAACACATTATTTATTTATCTACTTGTATCATTACTGACCACTGAATTACAAAACAGAAACACCCAAGGATGGATTATGGCATGGGTCAGCGGGCCCCTAAAAGCTAGGGGTCTTGAAAATAATTGATTTATATTTATATTAAACAGTGCTTAAATGTGTGCCAGTGATTGCTGTATAAGTCGACAGTGCTGTCACTGTTGCAATGTCTTAAATATAAAATGTGCGTACTATAAATGTGACTTTTAAGAATATTTATCACAACTGCTACTTAATTTCTTATATTTGCGATACAAGATGTAATTTCCAAACAAGAAATTGGAATTACCAGGCATGTGATCAGCTAGAGACAAAAAAGCAGGAAAATCTGACCACGCCCCCGGCACTTATTATTTTAAAAAATATATTTTATCACATTAAAAGATATATCTTATATTGTAATAATACATACTATTGTCCTGTAAAAATAAAAAGCAGTATTTAATAATCATGATAATAATTAATAATATATAATATAATAAAAACATTAATAGAATTTTTATTAGGGTATTAAAGTACCTGCCAAAAGTTTGGAAATATTACAATTATTAATAATTTTGAAATAAATCCCTTCTGCTCATCAAGCCTGTAATTATTTGATAAAAACAAACAAAAAAACAGCAATATTGTGAAATATTATTAAAAAAAAATGTTTTATGTTTTCTATAATATAATTATAAAATGTCATTTATTTCTGTGACGCTAAGCAGAATTTTCTGCATCATTACATTATTGATCTTTCAAAAATCACTACAATTTGATTTGATGCTCAATAAACATTTCTGATTATGATCAATGTTGAAAAGAGTTGTGCTGCTTCATATTTTGTGTGGAAATGGTGATACATTTTATTTTTCAGGATATTTATCTTTGATAAATAGAAAGTTCAATGAACAGCATTTATTTGCTTTTATCAAATATACTTATTAAATTCATTAAAGCGAATGCATTAAATAGAAATGTTTTGAAAAATGTTAAATGTCTTCACTCACTTTTTATCACCCTAATGTATGATGAATAAAATGGTCAATTTCTCTCTTTTTTAACATTTTCTTTACTGTCACTTTTAATCAATTTAACACACCTTTGCTAAATAAATTAATTACCTTCTTTCAAAAAAACAGAAAACGTATTGACCATAATGTTTGCATGTATATACAGTAACAAGACATCTTGTTTTTCTGCTATATTTATACAGTGCAGGGCATCAAGGGAGGGTCTCCATAGAGGCTGGCGCCCCGAGTGTCCCAATCCATCCTTGGTAACAGGCACATGGGAACAGCCAAAATACAGTACAACAAATCCCCTCAAATGTACTAATGGTGGAAACCTCAGACAAGCTGAAAGCCAGCGCATACAGTATATGAAACCTTGAATGACTTCATCTCCCAGCTCTATACTGTTTCCATTATAATCCATTGAAGAATTAGACAAGTCTTACCTGGTCATACTCAGATGCTCCGGGGTAGAGCGGCCAGCCCAGGAACAGCTCAGCGATGACACAACCCAGGGACCACATGTCTATGGCCTCACAGAACGGCAGACCCAGGATGATCTCTGGAGCTCTGCAGACACAGAAGTGATGGAAGAACTTTAAAAATACAGTCACTGCAGAACAAATACAGTTTTAAAAGATTTATTTAGCAATAATGACCAGCTGTCTATACATTATCCCATTACATTACATACACTACATTATCCCTATTTACAAAAAAGTCTGGTTAAGTGCACATTTATGAAGCATTTGCATTGTCCTTCACCACAGAGGGCCAGAGTGAAACAGAGATGTTTTTGGCCCAAAACTAGTTAATGTGCAACCTGTTCCATATTCAGCCCAAAGCTGGCATTGGTTACGTCGCAGCCGTAAGACCTCATTATACCCATTTAAGTTGAGTAATAAAGACAAACACTGAACGCATTTTGTTGCCACGGACACAGCGGGTGAGGAGGGAGGAGAGAGACGGCGCGTGACACGGCATTACTCTGGGCACCGCTTGTGAATCATCATTCTGAGGATAGACAGAGGGCCACTCTTTTGGATAGAGGGATTGAAGATAAATAAATGCCATATGGAGGGAACAAAAGCGGGAAATGTGTAGAAAGACAAAGAGACTGATTTTGGGTATGGAAAGATGTTCTGCAAGCCTTAAAGGTGGCAGAAATGCAGCTCACTTACACACACACACACACACACACACACACACACACACACACACACACAGAGAGAGAGATAATAGACTGACACCTCAGTTTTAGGGGTGACAGTAGAACACAGTCATATTATTTGTAAAGACAACATTGGACACTGGAAGAACAGCCTGTTCTTAGTGTTGTTATTGTTAACCAAAATTAATACCCACTTAAAAACCAATTAAAGCTATTTAGAAAATTAAAACAAACAAACCTAATAAAAATGACAAAAGCACACAACAAAACAACTAAAAACTGAAATAACTGAAAAAGACTGACTAAACCGATATAAAACGAAAACTGAAAACATAACTTACATTTTTTTTTTAGTAAAAATAAAAGTTTATTTTATATCAAAAATAAAAATATTAATAAAGCGTATATATACATTTATAAATAAAATGTAAATAAATAACACTTCTAGCAAAAGTCGAACCGAAGTCACGACTTATCAGGGGAAAAACACAACCATAAAGAAAATCTCTTTATTCTCTCAATAGTTTCTTCTAGAGAGCAATGTGAATAAATGGAAATACTCATATTTTAGGAATGTCTCAACATTCAAATTTTGTCTGATACAGATAAGCCGATAATAACTTTGATGTTATGACCAATAACTAATAAAAGGTTGATATTAAAGTTCTATATTATTTTCTAAATAAATGTAAAAAAAAAATAAAAAATAGAACACTTAAAATTGAAATCACGTTCAAGTGAAATTAAGCATTACATATTTTAAATGTACAGTACGAATTTTTTTTATTTATTTTTAGATTTAAAAAGATTACATTCAATAGTGTTATAAGATAATTCGTTTGTAGAGATCAACTTGATTTAGATGTCTACAAAGGATATCTAAAAGCAAAAATAGAGGAAATGATCATGCACAATTAATCAAATCTAGGGATGCACGATATATCGGCCACCATATCGGTATCGGCCGATAAATGCTCATTTTTTCTGTTATTGGTATCGGCCCGATAAGAAAATTTGGCCGATATCTTAAAGCCGATAAATAATGCATTATTTCCTTCAGAGACACTTCAGATGCGCGCTGTTCGTTTGCAGCCTTTTGTGCAATTGTACGTTGTAATATTGTATTTATTTGATGTATATCTGGTGCATCCCTAATCAAATCAAAATTAATATCTAATATAAATGAAAACATTAGTCATGAAATGAAAATGTCATCCATCCCTATAAATTCTGCAATTAAAAGTCAAAGATTTCAATATTAACTCTTAAATTATTCTCATTAATGTATGAATTTCACATAAACTTTAGTCCTCGCAATTTGACAAATTTGTTTCTATTTCTATAAGTGCTGTCAAACGATTCATCGTGATTAATCGTATCCAAAATAAGTTTTTGTTTGCATAATATATATGTGTGTACCATGTATATTTATTATATATATATATATATATATATATATATACACTGTGCCTTGCGCAAATATTCATACCCCTTCATATGATGATGATCAAAGCTTGTCGCATTAATCAAAAAAGTCTTGAGACTGTAAAGTTGCTTCAGCAAAATATTTAGTTATGTACTTATTTCAGTTTTTTAATTTTTAATAAATTTACGAAGTTGTGACAATTCTGTTTTTGCTTTGTCAGTATGGTGTATGGAGTGTAGATTGATGTGGAAAAAAAGTAATTTAAAGCAGTTTAACATAAGGCAGCAACATAACAAAATTTGAAAAAATGAATGGGGTATGAATACTTTCGCAAGGCACTGTATATATATATAAATGAACACATACAGTACGTATTTAGAAAATGTTTACATGTATTTAAATGTATATATTTATATTCATATAATTTAATTTATATATAAATATATTTAATATATAAACATAACACATTTTTCTTAAACATATACATGCATGTGTGTCTATACACATACTGTACATATATTATGTAAACAAAAACTTTTATTTTGGATGCGATTAATCGCGATTAATCATTTGACAGCACTAATTTCTATTTTTTCCTAAGGAAGTGAAGAAGAAACATCTGGAACAAAACAGAAACAAAATACTTCTGACAGGCACTCAAGGGCAGGAAAAGCCTCAGTTTGGCAGTTAATTCTCCCATTGGCTCTCATGCAAGGTGTATAGCGCATGACATCACCCTTCTGAAGTGATGTCATTGCATACAGCCTTGTGCCTGCTGGTCTGTCTGCTCGATATCATTCAAATAAGCCACAGCGCTACCAGCCCAAAGTATCTCTGTGACACTGAGGACGCATTACGGCCGCCACGTATGCAAATGCATATCCCACTTCAATCTTTTCTCTGCCTTCTTCCAATGCCATATGCAAAACAGACCAGCAGCTGCTGATGTAGGACTTTCGGCGGGTGTGATAAACACAAACACGCGCGGCACTAAATATCATACTCGTTCTCTTGCATATAAAACGTCTGCTCGTAATGCAAAAATCTGTGGTGAGAAATTCACAGCCCTGTTCCAGATCCACACACACAGAAATATGAGCTCCCGTACATGCAGATGTGATACGGAGGGTTCATTTGTGGTTCATTTTGCATCCCTAAACCTATCAGGCTGTTACCCTGCAGGTGTGTTTGTTTGCATGCGTGTCATTGCGCAGCTTACATGTATGCAAGGGTGACATTATGCACACAAGTGCAAACATCCGTTCCTGTTATTGATATTTGCATGGCAAGCCCGATGCACTCATGCTGTGGGAGTCATTTCTCGTATACAATGCCACTCATCAGCATAGTGCAAACAGGAGCAAGAGGTGCTGCTTGCAGAAGGTCTTCGCACCCATCGGAAACACTGCAGTGTGCAAATAATCACCAGGTTGCTCTGGGGTAAATGGCTTTGTGGCTATGAGGTCAGGCAAAGGTTATCACACACAGTGAAAGAGTGAGAGGGTGCGCTTCTTTGGTTCCAAAGTACTTCTTCTGAAGTCCTCAGTCATGCACACATGCATGCACATTCTCACTCAGTTGCTATTTGAGGCTCTGACATCATTCTGTGTGGGCATGTCAAAAAGCATCGATCACAGCTGACCTTCAATATGGACCACCACTCATAACCACAGACAGAGACGATGCCCTGCTTTTCATTTCAGTCCACAACTCTACATCTCATAGTGCCATTTAGAACCATGGCATATACAGTATTAAAGTACCATGGTACACCACAGCATTATCACATCTTATTATATGGATGTTTACATAATAAAAATATATAAAAAAAAATTGTAATAAAATAAAATACAAAAAAATGAATTAGGAATGTAGTTAAAATAAAATATCTAAAAACAAAATAATAAAATAAAATAAAAAAGAAATGCAGTTAAAATAAAATATATAAATACAAAATAATAAATAAAATAAAATATTACGTAAGAAGAAAGAGATCACAGAATGATACACAAGTCATGAAACTATAAAAGTTAGGCTATGTAGCCAATCATGGGACAGTGGTTAATTAGTAGTCATTATACAAAAACATATAACCACGAATGCTGCAATAGGCTGGCAGAATCAAGTATCAGATAATTCATACTGAAGCAGAGTATTATAAATGATATTGGTAGCACAATAATCAATACTAATATAGCCATAAAAGCAATAAAACAGGGCAATGAACAAAAATGATTCTCAGCAATAATAATAATTTTGAAGAAATGTAGTGGGATTTTCAAAGTTGTTAGAGAAGATGCCAGTTATTTATAGTTTTCCGATGGTCAGCATCATTCCTTTCCCCTCCTTCATATGACAAAAACCTTGATCCTCTGAGCGCCCGCTGACTGGCCACACTCCCTCGCAATCAATTTTAATATTCATGTCATCGCAGCGCACTAAAGCAGTGGAAGTCCAAAGTTCCCAGCGTGCCATTTTAATAAACATGTGTGAGATGGGCTCACCGAGGGGAACATATAGACATCTACCGCACACCTGCGACTGGCGGCGAGGCAAAGAGAGATGGAGCAAAAAGGACGAAGAAGGAAAATAAGAGCTGCCGTGACAGAAAGAGAGGCACAGACAAAGAGAGAGAGAGAAGGGAGGAAAATGACAGAGACAAAACAAACAGTCCAGGAGTATGAGAACAAGAGAATGAGGGAGGCAGGGGGAGCTGTTTAGATTTCATCTCCACGGAGTCGGAGTGTGGGGTCAACTCTCCACAACTTATTAAAACAACCTTGGAAAAATAGCCCTCCCTTTTATTGTGCTCGTTTTGTGGGAGTGCTCTTTCATTTCAAGGCCCTGTGAACCTCACCCTCTGCCGCTCTCTTCAAAATGCTGACGATGCTGTCACTCTCTCAACTCCCTTTTCTTCCATCATTAGCATTTCCAAGACAGAACGTGCATGTAGGGAGAGTGAGGGGAAAAACC